GTGCTCCATCCGATGGTTCAGTCAGAATTTCTGAAAAAAATTCACGAAGACTAAAAAGTGGTGGTCCTGGCGCCCTTTTTTTTTTGATAAAATCGACTTTTCAGGCTGTTCTGTCGGAGTTGGTGTATGACACAAAGCAAAACTAAATATGTATTCCCATACAACTCGATGAGGGCTACAAGACTGGCATATCTAAATCGTGCCGGGAATATGTTCTGTAAAAAGTGAGCGGAGCTGTGTGGAAGTACCCTACATGCAAACACGCAGAGATAAATACACTAGAGACATTATACCGTGTAACGCAGCACATATTTATTTCATATGAATACAAAGAAAGATAGTAGAGAAGAAAAGAGAAGAAAGAAATCAAGGTCTGTGACGTAGTACCTTTACGCCAACGCTAACAAAATGATTAACGCAGATTTTCTGAAAATAGTACATGAACATATCACACCACCAACAACACCTTCCGCAAATACGTCATTTAAAACGTTTGTAGTTCCGTTAGAAAAATAAGTTCGTATTTTGGCATCAGTATTGAAGTTGTATTAACATAATACAAATCTTGATAAAACTCATAACATGTATATTTTCTTCCGGTTTGCTTACTGCCCTTGTAAATATTCATCAGTTCTGCACTCTTCTCAGAATCATCGGCATTCGTGTTACACTGAAATGAACTCGACAATAATCCCAAAACCTTGAAGTATTTTATAAAATTAACGAAAAAATATTTAAATGAGTTTAATTAATGCAATACTATTACTGACTCATGATCCTGAATCAATTGTTTTATTATAATACATAGAAAACCGATCATCTAAAAATTGTCTAAAGCACTGATATCAGACTTCATTTGTTCATTATTCTCTTGAATTATAATCTACCAATCACTCATTATTCTAGCACCAGCATCATTTGCACAAGCTCTACTATACTATAATAAATCTATCCACTTCACTCCTCACATCTCACAAGTATCAATCTACAACAAGCCTTTTGTTTATTCTCTCTACTCATATCATACTTTATCAGTACAACATCTTCGTCATGCTCTTCCACAAATCGTTAAAAAACATAAATCTCTTCGAACATCACTCATCTTTCATACAGAAAACAATTCACTCATGCAACAAATCATTGATATGAAGGATAATAATAGACAACTATTTACATTTATTGAAAGCACTTATGAAACACATGAGCAACTAAATGAAATTTTACACGACGAAAAACGTAATCCTCAACTTTTTGATCTTGCTCAAGGTCTTGTCTTTCGATGTCATCTTGTTTACTACAAATCAATCTCTTCAAATCGACTTCTTTCCGATAAAGATCTAATTATTTTCAACTTCCATCATGCTTTATTTGATTTTCCATCAATGAATATATTTCTTCATGACCTCAATCAAGCATATACAACAGGTCAATTATTATACGATGACAGCACTACTCTACGTTATATAGATTGTAAGTATAAAAATTGATTATATTTTCGCCTTCTCTAATACATTCTTGTCTTTAATTATATAGATGCTGTTATTGAACAACAAATGTCAATGACTGGTGCAAGCATGTTCTGGCTTGATGCTCTTCATGATTGTAAACTTGATCAACCTTTATCATTACCATTTGATCGATATCGTCTTGCAAATGAACATCGAACTGGTCGTGGAACATCTATTTGTTTTGATTTTGGTCAAGATCTCTCACATGATTTTCTTATTCAAGCATCATCAAATAATATATCACTTGAACATCTCACATTTGCTGTTTATTTCATCTTTTTATTCAAACTAACTAATGGACAAACAGATTTATGTCTGGCCAGAAACATCAAGAATAATCGATATAGAGATGAACTCAAATCAATCATTGGGTTGTTTGAGAATATCATTCCATTACGATGTCAATTAGATCCTCATTGGTCTTTTCATCAATTACTCGAACATGTTCAAAAGATAACAACAAATAGTCTGAAATATGCATATTTTCCACTTCAACGTATTCTCAATCAACATTCACATACTTCAAAACATACATTTTTGGATACATCTCTCGAATCTATATCATACAATAGTAACAATGACAACAATGCAATTATGATTGGTGATTCTCAACTTGTTCCAACACCTTCCTCATTCAACGAAAATGACGATGAGATATTAAATTTATCCGACTTCTCTCTTTCTATTTATCATGATATGAATGTGAATCAACTCTCATGCACAATCAAGGCATCACTTGCCTTATTCAATAGAGAGTCAGTCGAGAAGATTTCACAACGATTCCATTCCATCTTACATCAATTATCTACATCTATTATCGACAGTCAAATAAACAAACCTATCTATGAAGTATCATTAATATTATCAAATGAACAATATCTAATGCAATCAATGAATAATACACAAATATCATTCTCATCTCCTCTCACTTGTATTCATCATGAATTTGTATATCAAGTGATGAAACATCCACAAAAACTAGCTGTTGAACTAGATGAACAATCATTGACATATTGTGAACTTCTATATTATATACAAATACTATCTTTAACTCTTCTTAATGAATATAATGTGTTTCCAGGTGAAATCGTGTGTCAATGTGTTGAGCGAAGTTTATCAATGGTAAGTTGATTAAGATAAGTACCATTTAATGTAAGTTTGAGATTGATTTTTGATTAGGTGATTGGTATTGTGGCAATTGAAATGGGTGGTGGTATCTATTGTCCATTGTCACCTCGAGATCCACAACATCGTTTGCATGCACTCACACAACAAACACAAAGTCGTCTTGTACTTGTTCATCATGTAACTAAGACTAAATTGGATGATGATATTATTTCACTGGATATTGATTCAATATTGATTAATAGTTATGTAGTAAGCGATGTTTATGTTGATCGACTATCAAGTGTTACAGTCACACATAATGATATTGCTTATATCATTTTCACAAGTGGTTCGACTGGAATACCAAAAGCGGTAAGTTAACGCTAGAGTTTATATCTCCCGTTTCTATTCCTCTTCATTCTAACAGGTTCAAGTTCGTCATAAAAACTTCACTCGTTATATGTACTCATTTGTGAGTGCTAGTGCGTTGAAGAAGGATGATGTAACTGTCCAGATGGCTCGAAGTACTTTTGACGTTCATCTTCAAGAAATAGCTGGTGTTTTATTAATTGGCGCTACATTAGTTATGCTACATCCAACAGGAATTATGGACTTTCACTATCTTGGTAATGTTATGATAAAGAAGAATATTACTTATTTTGCTTCTGTTCCAACTATAATTAATAATTTCTTCACTTTTCTACAACAACAAAATTATCATAATGTTGCGCGATACCTGCGATTAGTTTGCAGTGGTGGTATGTGATGTTTATATCAAATGTATTATTTTTTATATTACATAATTTCATGTCTAGGTGAACCTTGTTCTGTAAAACTAATAAATTTAGTGTCAAATACTCTAACGCATACTTGCCGTATATTAAACATGTATGGTACTGCTGAAACAACAATTGATTGCACCTTTCATCTTTTCGATAACACAATGGAGACTGAAAACATTCCAATAGGCAGACCACTTTTAAATTATCAAAATCTAGTTTTAGATGAATTCTCACAAAGTATGTTTATCAATCAAGAAGGAGAATTATTTGTTGGAGGTGCTGGTGTGTTTGCTGGATACCTTGGACGTGATGATTTAACTGCAAAAGCTCTTGTTGAAATAGATGGTCAACTATTTTATCGAACAGGTGATCTTATTCGAATGGACAAAAATAATCTTATCTATTATCGAGGAAGAAAAGATCATCAAATCAAATTACATGGACAACGAATTGAACTTGGTGAAATTGAACGATGTCTACTCAATACATCTGTTAGTGCTTGTATTGCCATGAAATGGAAAGATGATCATTTAGTTGCTTATGTTCAAAGTTCTGATATTGATGAAAACGTATTACGGGAACATTGCCAATTACACTTACCACCTCATATGATTCCATCAATATTTGTTATACTTGAGAAATTACCACTAAATGCAAATGGAAAAATAGATCGAAAGCTCCTTCCTCCACCAAATTTTTCATCAATAACAATATCTAATAATGAAGCTCAATACATTGAACCGAATGATATTGTTGAAATGAAGATTCATTTAATTTGGTGCGAAATTCTTCAACGTACAGATATTTCGATTAATACAAGTTTTTTCAGTATTGGTGGTCATTCACTTCTTCTTATGAAACTGTATCACCGTTATAAAGTGGTTTTCAATCTTGATAGTAGAACTATAAATATAGCGCAACTAATTGAACAGTTCACAATCGCTGAACATGCAAGCCTTATAAAACATTGGTCAGACTATGTACAACAAGATGTTGACTCATGGTACTTATTAAATTTCACTTCTGGTGAGTGTATTTAATAGTCGAAATATTATATATTATTTAGTTGTTTTGCATGATAATGATAAAGATATAATCAGCACAAAATACGTTGATGCGTTATTTAATTATCTGTAATAGAATTTATAACAATAGGCGAGAAAATCATATGTAGGATTATCAGATGATTAGTGTATAAGTGAGGATATTTCATCAAAAACTGAAATCTTTGATGAGATTACATTTATTTTCAGACTTAAGTTGGTTAGTTAAGCTATGTAATCATATAGTAATGATATCAGATTGCGCACTTTAATCATACTATAATATTCTATATATTCAAATAACATTAAGCAATCTGAAATCTATTTCATTAGTGTGACTATTACTTAAAACTTCTCTACAGTAGTTATAGGGATTTCAAAATAAATGGACTGTAGATCTAGTTTTATATATGTTATTGTATATATAGTGTTTCTGTTCTATTTATTAGATGACTCAATTACAGATGGATTATCATCTTCATCCAAAGGTAGACTTTACATTCGCCATAAGAATATCGATGATTTATCTCAAGATGTAACAATGATTATTGAACAACTTGAAAAAAGCTATCTTTCTGCAGTAATTCAAGAGATATATATTATGTGGATTACTGATCCTCGATTTAATGAAAATAATCAGTTAAATCAACGACTTGCTGCTATAGTTGTTTCGCAAGCATACGAATTAACTGTGCTAGAAGAATTGGAGAAGATTTCAAACCGGAAACACTTCCACAATGTTCAAATTCCATGGGCTCTTCTCATTGAAAAAGAATCACATTCTACATTACTGAAAGGAATGAATCGAGAAATTCTCGAAAAACATTATCGAACAAAAATAACAAATATTCTACTTGCAAATGTAACTATTGATACTTCTTCAAATATAACCGAACAAGAAAGATCTACACAATCTCATACGTTAATTGAACATGATAAGTTGCTCGATCCGTCTCTACAACCATCTATCAAAACGAACAACAAAGAAAAATGTAAAGATATTTTTCTCACTGGATCAACTGGTTTTCTTGGTACTTATCTTCTTGATGAATTATTGAAACAAACGGATGCAAATATATACTGTCTTGTTCGATCGAAAAAATCTACAGATACATTACAATCTCGCGTGATTTATTTATATGGTGATTTAACTCTTCCTCAATTGGGTCTTCACGATGATCAATATTCGATGTTAGTATCGAAGATGCGTTCAATTTATCATTGTGGAGCAGACGTTAATGTCATTAAATCATATACTGACCTTCGTTCAGCAAATGTGCTTGGTACTCTTGAATTAATTAAACTAGCATGTTTAGCTAATTGCCGAATTAATTATATATCCACTTTAAGTGTTTTGGATGAAAATGATCAAAGTGGATATGTACAAAGCAAACAAGTTTCTGAATGTCTGATGAAACAAGCAAGTGAAAGAGATTTAACTGTAAGCATTCTTCGACCAGGTAAGAATACATCTTCTAATATTATTTAAGAATTTTTAACCTAATTTTTGCATGAGTTAGGCTTCATATCATGGTCTTTGTCGACGGGTGATTTTAACAAGGCAGACTGGTTTAACTTCCTATTTTTGGATCTGATTGAGTTTGGGTCCGTACCCGAAACTAATTATGTGTTCAGTATGACACCAGTTGATCAGATGAGTAGATCTATCGTCGAGTTAAGTGAATCAAATGAAACAGTAAAAGCATCAATCAATCTTTTTGAAACACATACAATCACTTTTAAAGCAATATGGAACGAAATTTGCCGACAAAAAATGATGGAACCTCACTATCTCAATGCAATAGAATGGCGTCAAAAACTGGATATATACATAAAGTTGGATCCACAATCGTTCCGTGGTTTACAGCTTTTTTCGTACATGCTAACTGACTCTTTTCCACAAGATAGAACAGCTACTATGGGCACCGAATCTGATCTGAATGTGCCAATATTTGTGAAAGCATTACTTCGAAAAATGACTACTTGACGTAACTATGTCAAAATTGAACTCTGCTATTAACAGTGGATGAATCCATGAGATTTCTACCAACTTTTATGAAAGACCTTTTATTATCGAATCTTTTGTTATGTAGGCGTAATGTTAACAGAACATAGATTCGGTCAACAAATATTCGTAACTACTATCGGAAATACTGGAAATTTAGATCATACTCTACGAACATCTACAGAGGAGAAAGATTAGCTAGATAATTACAATATTTAAAGCTAATATTTTGGGTGATAGGTTGAAGGTCAATCCACTGTCATAACCACCAGAGAATCCATTTTTCGATCTATGATGACTGAAATATAAAATTCTTAAGGAGAGCGAATTCTACATGTTTATTGTGATAAACCCATTCGTTCTCCTCTGTAGATGTTCATAGAAAACGATCTGAATCTCCAGTATTTCAGATAGTAGTCACAGATGTTTTTCGCCTAAATCTATTTTCTATCTATGTTATGCCTAAATAGCGCCAAAGATGGTAGAAACCTCCGGATTCACTCTTAATACATTCTCATTCTCTTGTAACTCGATTTGATAATAATAATTTTCTAGACTAACAATTTTTTCTTAAACTCATATAAATAATAAGTTCGAATAATTTTTAAAAATATTTATTCACGAACAAAAAATAGGGTGTGGGGTCGATGTGGGTGTAACATAATCATCTATTCATCCACATCCACACTCACACCCTCGTTAGTAGTTATAGTAGTAATATACCAAGCACTAGTGTTGAACAACAATTACAAAAAATTTTCAGTCAAGCTTTCCATATTGAATCTCCGCCTATTGACGTTCCTATTGGTCAGCTCGGTGGAACATCATTAGATGCTATTCATGCACTTACAGTAATACGGCAACAGGTGCATACTAATATTGACATTGGTCTTTTATTTGCTAATCCATCTATTCGACAATTGTCTATAGCAATAGAACCTTTGCTAGTTTCGAATCAATCTCAAGAGACGGTTTTCACCGTTAATCAATCTCATGAAACATATGTTCACCTTGCACCTTCATTTGTTGTGGAATCTATAGGTGTTATAGTTCTTTTCTGTCAATGTTTATGGCCAATCATAATAATTCATCAACGGTGTCCATTCTTTTTCTCATTTCTACCAGCATTTCATCTTATATTCTATGCCATTTGTTCACGTCTCTTTTCACTACAAAACAACAAAACTGATATTGTCTTCTCTTGGAACTATTATCGATGGTGGTTTTTGGATCGATTATGGAATAATAATACATTTTGGTTGCAGCATTTACTTGGCACACCACTCTACAATTATTATCTTCATTTTTGCGGTGCACGGATTAGTATCAACGCACATATTTATACCACAACTATCGATGCTCCATGGTTGTTAGAAATTGGTGATGGAAGTTGGATTGCTAATGAAACCTGTCTGAACTGTTTATATTTTAATGATAATAACACATTCAAACTGAGTCCAATAAAGATTGGATCTAATTGTTCAGTCGGTACACGATCGATTTTATACGATGGAGTTGATATGGAAAACAATATTATTGTTCAACCCATGTCATCGGTTACTGGCTCCATTGCATCTAAAACAGTCATTGATGGTGAAGAACATAAACCTATTTCATCGGATAACTGTATCACTTGCAATAAAAGATCATTATCGATATGGCATAAGATCTACCAAGTTATTGTACTCATCTCGCTAATATGTATTCACTGTACAATTTTAATTTTTGTCTATAAAATTTATTCAATCGAACATATACCACTACCTATCAGTATTGCTTTTAGTTGGACTTTGTGGTCGATACTCGGCTGTTTTGTTTCTGTCTTTCTGCTTAAATATGTAATCGGTTCCTGTGTGGCGGGTGACACGTATTCGATAGCTTCTTGGTCGTATTTACATAAGTTATGGATTCGCCAATTAATTGTATCTAGTTTCCGTCATGCATGGTTGCTACCATCTGCGTACGATGATATTTATCCGTTTGTTCTTCGTTGGTTAGGTGCTTACATTGAAGATAATGTTAAACTCTATGATATCGGTATTTTTCTATCTTATCCAAAAAATCTACTGAAACTTGAAACGGGGGTCACTATTTTTGGCTACGTTTTATTAGTTCCGACTGAGATGACATTATCAGGCGACCATTGTGTTGATCGTATAACGCTTGGAGCCCATGCGAATCTTGCAAATAGATGTTCAGTTTTGCCCGGTAGTCATCTTGCTTCTGAGACAATGGTTGGCAATTTAACACGCATTTCTCGAGAGATAAATAGCAAACAAGGAGATGTTTTTATTGGTGTTCCAGCTCGTGTCATGCCCTTTAAAATGCCTCTTAGATCGAATATAACCGATCAAATTGAAATTACCTCACTTTGGCATACATGTTTCTGGCATTTTATTAGTAAATGCCTTTTGATAAACATTTATTTATTAGGTGGTTTCATTGGTGGACCGGTAATTCATATAACACTCATTTGCAGTTTCTACCGATGGAACTCATCTATACGTTATGAACTAGTGCAGCACATATTAGGAAGATTAACGCACGATTGCCAACAATTTATTTGTCCATTTTTTAGCAATACACAATGGTTGATCCGGTTATTTCGAGGATTCGGGGCTTATATTGGTAAAGGAGTAGTCTTACCTGATTTTTCTTGTATTACTTATTATCATTTGATAACCATTGGAGATAACGTTCGGCTTAATATACATGCTAATATTCAAGTAATACTTGAATTTTGTTATTATTTCTCTCTATAAATCTTTTCTTCTTCATAATTTTTTCAGTGTCATAGTTTTGAGCAACGTAGCTTAAAATTAGCTCCCGTGGCAATCGGAAATTCATGTGTGCTTATGAGTGGTTCATATGTAATGGCAGGCTGCAAGTTGATGGGCAACAATAAACTCTATCCATTTACATTGATAATGAAAAATGATCAATTACCGCCGAATACCCATTGGAGAGGGCTTCCTGCACGTAAGTCACTTAGACAAATAATCCGCTCTTATATAACACTTCCAAGATATTGTCTAATCGCTATTAATATTCATTTTTTTATATCCTTGACATTTCTATTTAGTGAGATTTACTGTTCTTAAAAATGAGCATATAAAGGTTTCAATATAAGAAGCTAAATTGGGTATAGTATTATCTGGGCCTTCTGCTGGCAAGCCATGATAAAAATCATTCGATTAATATTCTTTTTCACTGATACTAAATTTTCGCTAAACTATCCCACTGACCATAACATATGATATACTTTACATCGAATCTATTTTTTATCGTACTCTTTTGTTAATATGGAATTCAATTAAACCTCTTTGTCAGTTTCAACTTATAGTTATTTATCAACGTCTTGTATTAGTATTAGATCAGTTTAAAATTATTATTTTCTATTAATCAATAATAATTTGTGAGACAAAATAAATTGACAATCAATATTTTTCTTAAAATATATGACACCACGAAGATACAATAGAGTATTGGAATCGTAACGTTTTAAACTCGAGTTTAATTGACTAGTTTTATAATTAGACTGGAAAATTAAAAAAACTACACATCAAACATCTTGATAAGATTATATATTTACATTATTTTCGAAATAGACACAAAAATCGTACACCTTTTTATGCTTATCATACATTTTCCCATATTTGTACTTCGAGATCTTATTCTTTAAAATAGTTTCATTTGAAGTTAGACTGCTTACTTCGAATTGCTGCATATGAATTTATTCATTGTTTTCATTATATTATATCTCTTTCTTTTAGAATCTTGTACAGTAAAAGTAAAATTATCTCAGCCGACAATAGTCCATGATGATCTAGTAAAATATCAGCAAGGGTATGAGACTATTGACAAATTGTTTCTCTGGTATGAACGAATTGCAAGTATCTATACAAGTGTAAATGAATTACAATTTATGAATTATGACTATGCAGATATGGATGAATATATCGATGATCATACTGGCTATTATTCGAGAAAACTTTATGAACAGGTATGTAGAAAAGAATACATGACTCTATTTTAGTGTTTCTTTTTTGTCCTATTTCGCATCCACTATCATAAGAGATTGTCATAATCTGTGATTTATAAGGAATTTGTATGGATATGAATATAAGATTGGTTTATTAAATG